GCGGAGTAGCGGGGGAGCTGGAAGATGAGAAGTGGCGACTTGGTAGTACAACTGTAGTACGCAGAGTAGCTGGGGTGGGAAGATGAGAACTGGTGAGTGGGTAGTAGCTGAGAACTGGCGACTTTGTAGTACAACCTTAGTATGCGGAGTAGGTGGGGAGCTGGAAGATGAGAACTGGCGACCTGGTAGTACAACTTTAGTACGCAGAGTAGCTGGGGACTGGGAAGATGAGAACTGGCGACTTGGTAGTACAACTTTAGTACGCAGAGTAGCTGGGGAATGGGGAGAGGAGAACTGGCGAGTGGGTAGTAGCTGCGAACTGGCGACGGTGTAGTATATAACTGTAGTGCGCGGAGTAGCTGGGGAGCTGGAAGATGAGAACTGGCGACTTGGTAGTACAACTAACACGTGCCTTTGATAGCAGGCAGTGGAAGCCAGCTTGCTGGCTACCATCATAGTTGAAGTGGGTAAGCCAGCACGCTGGCTGCCATTGTTGAGATGGCAAAGCCAGCACGCTGGCTACCATCATAGTTGAAGTGGGTAAGCCAGCACGCTGGCTGCCATTGTCCAGATGGCAAAACCAGCACGCTGGCTGCCATCATAGTTGATGCTGGTGCATGGATACCAATGCAATTGGCAGAAAGCCTTTGACTGGAGTTCCTCTGACAGGTCACTGCTTCGAGACGCTTCTGGCGTGGCTGCCTCAGCATTTTCTGTGTTCATTCCAGCTCGGTTTTTTCAGTGAGATTCCCTGCAGCCGTGCACGCTGCTTCTCCCCTTACCAGCAGCCCAAATGGTCACGACGATGAGCTGGGCTGTCACCGCTTGGCCGCCGGTGGGGGTTTGGGAGGCCTGCGCGCTACTTCGTTCATCTCCTCTGACAGGTCACTGCTTCGAGACACTTCTGGCGCACCTGCCTCGGCACTTTTGTGTCCTCATTCCGGTTCGTTTTTTTCCGTGAGTTTTTTTGGCGCCGTGCACGCTGCTTCTCCCCTTACCAGCAGCCCAAATGCTCACGACGATGAGCTGGGCTGTCACCGCTTGGCCGCCGGTGGGGGGTTTGGGAGGCCGCATCACACACAGACACCCACACACTCCCTCAACTTACACGAACACACACATACGCAGACTCATTTCCACACGGACATAGACACACGCACAGAAACCCACACACTACCTCAACTCACTCGACTTCACACTTCTCACTGCACACTTACCGGATAACTCGCACTCTGACTTCCTACGTGATGAAAAATGCTTTCGGGCCACTCGTCGTCTAGTTTATATATATATATATACGGACATACGTATTTCACCTGTTTCTATTCTCAAAGTGATACCATTATCATGTTTCAGTCGCACCCTCCCAAGGTCGGGAAGCATTTTTTTCTCGGATGAAGTGGGCAATCGACCTTATTCGAGGCGGGTCCTCGCACATGGGGGGCTTTTGCCTTGCCCATTCAGAGAGAGAGAGAGAGTGATGCTGCTTGCTCCAACTAAGCAATGGCACTTGCCGTGGTGATTCCTCCACCAAAATCAAAGGACACCGAAGGCCACTGCCATCATAGCCCTTTGCATGGATTGGCCAGCCGATCTGCCCAATAGTTTGCTTAAACAGCTAGGACCTAGGAACCAAATCATTAGGCATTAGTGCGAGCGCTTCCTTGAGAAGCGTGAGCTACCCTGCATCCATGTCTAGTAGCTTAAGTAGCTAGTAGCTTACTCCTTTACTTAATTAGGCAGGTGCCTGCTTAATTAAGCAGGAGCGGGCGAACAAACGCCACTGATGTCACAATTTGAGGAGTAGTCGCGAGCTGCAGGCCTTCATGGGAGCATTTTGAACTTGAGCCGCGCCAACGAATCCCGTGCAGCTCGCGTTTACTATGTGCCGTCCTTTTTCTCACTGTTCCCTGACAGAGTGATGATCTTGAGTTCTCACGGGAAACTTTTGAAAGCAACTCATTCTAATGGAACTCCCTGAAACGCATCATGGTCCAAGGTTCTCCCCCACATTTGGCCACGTTCCCCCATTGCATTCTTCTGAGTCACTTGATTTGGCCAGTGCGAGCTAGTTCATCATGGGTCTTACTGCTGCGAAATGGCACGCTTGCACGTGTTATTTGTTTCATTGCTTGGTTCCTGGTCCTCGTCATTAATGACCAAACATTGGCACTGGGCGCTGGGCAACCATTCCGCAATAGACAAAGACTGAGTATCCTAAAGTACCATGAACAATGTGACTCACATGAGTCAGGCCCAATTTTGATGTGACGCTCCCTCATTTCTTCCTTAGGGAAGGGCCTTGCTTTACTGATATCACTTGATGTTACCTCATTTTGTCGTTCTGGTTGGCCTATCGGGCATGCTCTTGTGGATGGGAGGGGCATTTGGTCCTCGTTTGGAACATGGGTCGGGATTGCGAGTTTGGCGGTCTTGCTGAGGCTCATAGCTTTGAGTGACGAGGAGACTTGTCTCACATCCTGGAGATCAGTGATACGGCAGTCCAGGTCCACAGTGAGCATATTTAGAGGGACCGCGCAATGACCGGCTCCCGCCTGGTTGCAGGAGAGTTTGCGGTGCTTAGTGCGGGCTTCTGCAGCCATCACCAGCAGCAGCCTCTACTGGCGCCGCTCATCCAAGATTGGTGGCACCTACGAATGTGTGACAGACATAAGAACATGGGGCTAGCGGGCTACCAGTGGCACATGCCAACCCTGGACATCATGCCACAGATCTATTTCACGCGTGACCTGACAAAGTACATTGGCATGCTCTTTCTCTTCCTCATGGGCTTGTTGATCTATGTGCTACATAATTACATGCTATTTTGATCTATTTGGATTTTGTGAGGCAATGTCCATGGCCTTTCTCAAGGGCTCTTCAACACTATTTTTGCGTTGAGTGGGTGCTTTTCCCAGGCAACCTTGGCTATGACCACTTCTACGTACACGGAATGGACTCACGGCAGGTCTCAGAGTGACCGGCAGAGTTGGGAAAAGCTTGCCTTTTTTATTGAACCTGTTGCATTTGTCTGTCCAGTTATGGGCCCGGCCAAGGAGTACCCAGTTGTCAGCGATTTCGACTTTGCCTGGGCAAAGCCGCAGCAACGGGACGAGGAACTGCAGGGTCCACTGTCGGCTTTGTCAATTGTGCACGGAGCACATGTACCAACACAAAATATGCTTTGCATAAAGAGGCTTTGGCCATCGTTATTAGAAAAGAGTGCCAGTATGCTTTGCATTCTAGACATGTTTGCAAAACACCACTGGATTGGATACGAGGCAAAGCTTTGGATGGTGCGGGCCTTTTATGCGAGCACACGCAACATGGCGATCCTCACTACAGGCCGGGAGCTTGCACTGCGCCAACACCGCAACCAAAACTCGCCAGGGGAGCTTTCTCAAGGACCTGGTTCTTGGGCTTTGGCTGGAAATCTCTACAACTCGAGGCTTGTGAGCTGGTGGCTGCGGAAGTAAACAATCAAGACTTGTGGAGTTGAGACTTGAGATACCTCCCAGTCACAATCCAGATGTGCTTGGGAAGCTTGCCGCATCTTGCCGCACAGGCGCGTGGTGAATGTTCCCTTCACTTTGCATGAAGGCTGCGAAAACTATGTGCAGGAGAACCAAACCGACATCAGCGATGCAAGACTGCGTTCCCTTGCACTTTGCCCAACGTTGGTCTCGGGACCCCCAACAATCTCGGTCCTTTTGCGCATGCGGACATTGTGTCGATGGTTACTCTTGGTTGTGTCATTTCGAGAATGTTTTTCTGTACTCCTTTGCAATGGCGATGGGTATGCGGACTTGTGCGGACTTTGCATGTGGCGCTTATTAGCTGCACCTAGCATCATAGCAGCAAGAGGTGTTGATTGCGGGCAACATGTTCATACACTTTGTTTTTCTCTTGATCTTGTGCAGGAACCACGCAATATCAGGCTCAGCTTTGTGGGTTCCGTACAGGCCGGAGAATGACACCAAATGAAACATCTGACATTTTGTGTCGATAGTTGTACTTAACACTGGAGGCTAGGAATCATGAACGACTGCTGTTCTTGAGGCAGGACGTGAGGGGGCAATGGGACGGAATGGTGCACCCAGAGGTTTCAAGGTTTGTTGGACATTGGGAAAGCGTCAAGTCATATGTTCTGAGGGGAATAACATGTTTCTCCCATGTTCATGGCAGGAAACAAGGCTAGGCCATAAATTGAACATAACAATGGCTTACTTGACTGACTGCCTCTACGTCTGAGACTGTAGGTGTCCCTTCCCTTGCAAGATGTTACAATCATTCCTGTAGTGAAGTCGCGGGTTGAACCAAACTGGCTGTAGAGTTAGTAACAAGGACACTATTAGGTGGAGCCCATCGCTACTAATAACAAGAAGCTACTAGGGTCTCCTGGCCTTAAGTAGCAAGGTCTCCAGTTCCTTTGCATGTCCAGGGCCGCCATTTTGGAGCATGGCGGCGCCATAGGCAGCGGCGCCACGGTCGTGAAGACCTCCAAGCTTCAGCTCCGTGCAGCTCGGTTCCACCGGGTTCACCGGCGAGGAGTATAAGGAATCGGCTCCACGCTTTTTGTTACTAGTAGCGATGCCAGGAGCCCCTAGTAGCGTCCTGTGCTCCTAGTAGTAAGGCCAGGAGGCCCTAGTAGCTTCTTGTTATTGGTAGCGATGGTCTCCATCCTACTAGCGATGCCTCCATCCTACTCCTTGAGGAATCGGACGTTGGAATGGGGCCTGCTTAAGACAAGACGTGGAACCATGTGGAACCTATATACTATATAGCAGTTACTAGCGATGGCCTCCAATATACTAGCGATGGCACAGCCCTCTGGCAAAGCTGAAATAAACAAGAAGCTACCGTGGTCTCCTGGCCTTACTACTAGGAGCAAGGACGCTACTAGGGGCTCCTGGCATCGCTACTAGCAACAAAAAGCTACTAGGGTGGAGCCGATTCCTCCAATAAACAAGTGAACTTCGTGGACCTCCAAAAGAGCTCGTGGGCGCCGACTGCCTCGACCGAACGGTGGCTCCAATTCTCAAGGCTTGGGTGCAAGTTGACAAGGCGGAGCCGCTGAATCACACACAACGCTTGAAACTCAATTGGGGTGTATGGTCCGTGCAAGAGACACAAGCTTATGAGTGGGTGCTACTGTGCTATGGAAGGGAACCCGCACTGTTAGCGCAGACCTGCTCTGGGAGCTGTTGAGGGCCATCTTGACTGAGGTCTACTTCTGCAGGCGAAACGTTGGTGGCTGCATCACTTGTTGGAGCTCCCAGGATGTCATGCAACACGACGATGCATGTAGAGAGGTCTGCAGAGATTCTGCTCCACCCGCTGAGCCCAGACAATGACAATTAACTCAGATACCGCATTTGGGATATTTTGGGATCTTTTGCGTGTCAGCTTTGAGGGATTTGTTTTGTCGAATGATCGCCAACTCCATTTCGGAATGCCCGGATTCCAAGCAAAATCCAGTTGCTAGTAAGCATTAGTAAGCTCTATCCTGCGTAACGTCCAGCCCTTACTTATATGCGTATCAGTAGCCGCCTAGTTATTGTAGTTAAGGGGTCTTTTCAAAACAATGAAGTTGAGACAAGCTACTAGTAACAAGTGCATCGCTTCTAGTAACAAGTGCCTTACTAGTAGTAACAAGAAGCTTTAGACTTTCACGGCGCCGCTGCCGACGGGTGTCATGAGGTACCGCCGGAGCGAGCTTTGCGTGGTGGCCCCGGGTGATGCCCCGGCCCTCGGCCAGCGACTCTCCGACGTCCTGACGGCAGGCGGCTGACTGTGTTTGGGATGACGGAAAAAAACAAAGCGAATCCATTGTCCATCATGTTGCCGGCTAGTAGCAAGGACGCTACTAGGTGGAGGCCATCACTACTAGTAGCTATTTGCATCTATTTGCTACTATTAACTCTCGAGACTGAAGGTTGCATTCCGGTGGTGCTCCTGGGCTGGGCACTCAGCATTGTGCCCACAGCTTTGTCGTCCATGGTCAGCCTGAGGGCCTGGAACTCAGCCAGTTCTGCCTTTGCAGGGAGCAATCCCATGGGAGGCACCGGGGTGAAGATGATTGGCATTTGCGGGTCTAATCTTAAATAAGAGCAGACTAGACACAATCAACAGCCCATCGTATTATATATATATATACGTATTTGACGCAAAGCCGGGTTTTAGCACAGGCCACCTGGAAGCATTATTCACATTTGATGCATTTTTTGGAACTAGGCCTCTGCCTTTGCGAACTGCCAGCCAGGACTTCGCAGTATTTGTGCGCTTGGGTGATGATGTGACAAGTGCATAGGCTCAGCGAAGCAACATGTCCTAAGCAAAAACCTGACCGGCATGGCTTTTGGCCCGTTTCTAAGTTCCTTGTCTCATGGTTTGGGAGTTTCTGAAGGGGTATCTTGATGCTGTCTCCCATTTTGACCCCCCAAACATGGCATACATGCAAGCTGCTCAGCAGTCTGAGGTGCTCGATGGGCTTTGCGCCGCCTTTGGGCAATGAGCCAGAAAGAGGCCCTCTTGATGGAAGACATTGGAAGACATGAGAAACATTCGACATCCCAGAGTCCGAAGGATTGAAGTGAGTTCTGAAGAACGTTATTCCATGTCCAAAGCAATCATTCCAAAGTGTGGAGGTTCTTCATTCGGTCGGTGGTTCAATTTTTGTGCTTGAAAAAGGGTTTCCGGAGCCTGCAAACGCAAAAGGTACTGGCTTCCAGGGTTGCACTATAAAAGGGAGGAAGAAAAGAAGGGCCCCCTTCAATCAGGCCCTTGCCTCTTTTAGACCTTTTTTGCGTCTCTGTTTTTGAACAACTACTATTCGCTATATATTCTCATCCTTCATTTTTTAAATACAAAATTCATTGACACCAATACTGATGACATGTAATGTGCTACGATTATCAATTGCTGTAAACAATGTCAGTTCATTCTTTCTTCCTGTTGCTTTTGCAGCTGTCACGACGACGGGAACGACTTCTCTTTTGGCGTCCGCACTTGGCTAGCAGCTTTGGGGCCAAGTGCTCTAGGTCGGGTGCCGTCTCGTGTGTAGAGAGAGAGAGATAGTCTGATTTCAGCTCATTCATCAACAGTCCTCAATGCCTCAATAGTCCTCATCATCCCCATCCGTGTAGACCTTCCCAAATGGTGTGGGAGGATGTAGCAGGCGAGGGGCATGCCCCATCTTAAGGAGATGTTTTGATGTGGCCTGATCAGCGGTGCATTCTGACAATCCTTTGCACGCCATTCAGCATTTCATTGGTTGTTGTGCCATTTTTTTTCCTCGCAACCCGCTCTGCAGCTGCAGCTCTTTTCAGTCTAAAGAGGGTCAAGTGGGAGGATGGCCACCTTGCTATGCGACCCTGCTGGGGCCTCATGTGGCAGTAGGGGAAAAGCTTCCGTTGAATTAGTCCTTTGGCGATTCGTCAGACGAACACCCTTACAATCCAAGGATGGGTCAGTCCGCCAGCATGTGAGCTAGTCTTTGCTTGTTGCGTCGGGGTTTGACGGCAGCATCCATACTGTTTGCATCCCGTTAGATGAGATGCGGTTGGAGGTCGGCCCAGATGCCAAGAGTCATGCGCTGAGCCGCACAGAGCGGAGGAAGCTTAAGGTGCAGGCCGCTATCGGGTGGAGTCTGGGGGGAAGTATTGAACATGGATGAACATTGACTATATGAACCATTGCTGGCATATGAACCAGATGATGTTCGGAGTTGGGATAGCGTCACATCCAGACTCAAATGTGTTCAATGCTCCCGGTATCTTGCAGTAGCTTATGAAAGCTTCTTTCTTTTGCATGTTGTTCGCGTCTCTCGCACTGCACAGGCCAGAACAGATGCTCTAAAGCCAATGCAGCAGAAGCTCCAGTCGAAGGACACTACAGTAGTGGTTTGACACATTTTGGACCAACAAAGAACGCTCAGTCGAATGAGTGTCGGCCTTGAAGTGCGTCGTCTTCACCTCACCGCCCGAAGGCATCCCCCTGCCCCCTACTAAGGCTAGGGACAAACCGCTTGTAAATTATATGTTAATTTTAATTCTAATAGCTTTTTGCTACTACTAGTAAGGCACCTGTTACTACTAGCGTGGCACCTGTTACTACTAGCAATCCAGTTCAAAGTCGAGGGTTTCATCGTTTGCAGGTTTTTGGCTCAAAGCATCGACAGGATACAGACGCCAATTGCCAAGTTCTCGAGTGTGCGCACAAGTTCTCACCCACTTGTAGGATCTTGTAGGCATTGGAGAACAGTAGAATCAGTAGAATATCAATGCCGCGCTACGCACCTTGCTTTTGAGCGATGGAACCCCGAATCTCACCCGCACTTGGGCTGTTTGGACAGCAACGCAAGGGAAGGAACTAGCGGACCTGGATGCTGTCACCATCAACATTGGAAGCAGTTACAGAGCAATTGCTGTGTTCCATCTGCGCCCCTGTTTGCGTTTATATTCAATGAGAGATAATGTAAGGGGCGAGAGGTAGGACGGATTAGGGCGCCAACGGAGAAGTGCGAAAGCGGGAGTTTTGCGCTCCCCCGTTTTGCAGGAACCATGGCGTACATGGTGGCTGCGGTGGCACTGGAGGTGGCACTATTGGCCCCACTCTGCAAAGCAGTGTGGGCACACCGCAGCCAATTGTTGGAGATATTGAACTGGTCTATCCGATCAGTAAAGCTTTCTTTGTGCGTGGGACGCTTAAGTGGCCGCGATCAACACGTTTCAGAAGGACTGGGGTACGGTTTGCCACACTGGCGCAGTCACTGCGCCGTTTGTTTGTGATCATCAGGTTCTTTTGCCCAAGAGTGGCGAAAGGGCCCCATTTTTGGGATGGCTTGGAGGGGCTGACTTATATATATAGTTTCCTTGGCCAACTAATGGTTGCCAGGATTTCTCGTTGAGGTGGTTGGAGGTTGGTCTCATGAACTCCGCAGGAATTCTTGAATACCGTTGCTGGGTGGCAGACCGAGTCTTGGCGAATTACTGGGGGAGGAATGCCACAAAAGCTAAGCTGGTGGAGCGTCCGGAGATCTCTGCTGCCGCTGTGTCACATCCTGTGGCTGGGCTGAGGTATGCTTGCTTACTTGCTAGCCGTGTGCACCGTGGCAATCTTCACGATTCAGGTCAATCTCCTGGCAGGCTCCTGGCCTTACTACTAGGAGCAAGGACGCTACTAGGAGCAAAGGGCATCGCTACTAGGAGCAAGGACGCTACTAGGGGCTCCTGGAAATACTACTAGGAACAAGAGGCTACTAGGAGCCTGGCAGGTGGGGAGCAGTGGCTCGCGGAGGGGCAAAGGTGGGTACTGCTTGGCCTTACCGCCGGCATGGCCACTTGGTTGCGCTATGCCAAGCCTTCTGCAATTTGTTTCTCTTCTTTACCTGACTCGCACACAATGCAAGGCCATCGGCAACTGAGTGCCTCAAAATGAGCGTAGTGGGTAAAAGGTCGGCTAGATCTTGCTCCATGAGCACCTCCCAGGTGCAAACCAATCCTGTCAATGTACTCAACAACCTATTCTTCCCATTTGAGGTGGTAGCGCGGCAGATGCCCAACTTGGTGAAATGGCGTTCCTTGGCAAAACTAAGGCCCCAAAGATTCAGATGTCGACGATTATGACTCTGTTGGACCAGCTGTGGGGAGCTGTGGGTAGTCTCCAGCTTGTGCATTCAGGATTGAACGGGCTCTACATCCTGTTTGACCTGGCCACCCTGCTTTATGTCACGCCCTGGATGGTACCACCAGAGAAGTTTGCACCTGGGCACTGGGCTATCTAGTTTCTAAGGCCATTCTTACATTTTTCAGCATCTCAACATCACCGGTGCGTTTGGACCCGCGGCTCAGGTGGTGTTCACGATGGTAGCATTGGCATTCATACGCATGCCTGCCGTGGTCTTTGCAACCAGCATGCCGCTGGTTCTCGCCGGAAACTTGCTCAGCTGCTTCCCTCGCACATCAGACCACATGAGGTCCCGAACCTGTCCAGCGCCCTCTTGAGACCAAAGGTGTCCTAAATCGCATCCAAGGCCTTCTCCATGCTACTTTCCGGGTCTACACTGAAGACTTTGAGAACTGCGATGGGACTGGGGCTGTTTATGCATTGCGCATGGAACTTCTCTCCGGTCTGGGGGTGCTGGGGTTTGCTTGGAATTCCGGCACCGATTCTTCAGGTTTTGCAGAGGTAATGAAGAGAGAGAGAGAGAGAGGGAGGTGTAGGTGTAGGGAACAGAGTGAAAGGGGAATGCAAGCTGCAGGTGTTCATTTACGATGTTTTAGGCTCATCAATTTCAGTTATCCAAGTTGCCCTAAATTAACGCTAAGGATAATGAACAACATCTTGCAGTTCAAAGCTGAGCTGCGAGTGGAAAGTGGCAACGTTGCCACCCAGCTTAGTGCAGCATCTTCGCTCCTACGGTTGACTTGCGATGCTGTGATTGAGCTGGATAACGAGCTGCGCCTGATTGAAGATTCGCCAGAGCTGGCCTGCATGCTGCTGACTCTTGCCTCGCCCAATCAGTAAGACTTGGGATATGATATGATATTGGCCTCAAAATTCAATTTGGAGTCGTGAGCTGAAGGCGTTCACCTTGAACAACCAGTCCAATTATACAACTACCAAGCACCAAAAAAGACCACATTCATCCCTGACAAAATTTCCACTACAGAATGATAGACGTCAAGGCCACTATAAAATAGCAATCTGTAGTCAGCCAAGGTTTGACTGATGATTTGGCCTGATCAAAGATGCATGGACAATGCATTTTGTAGCGGGCAGTGGGCAGTTATGTTGATATCAATGTCTCAAGGTGGATCTGGAAAAGTCATTTTGTAGTGGCTATTTCTTCTTGCGCACTTTCGTCACCAGTGTCCTCATTGTCACTGTCTCTGAATTCATGCACTCTCCTGCTCCTCAGCATGGATTGCCTTGGAGTGATGCTCCTAGCTGGCAACGCTGCTGCAGCGACTTCCTCCGCTGTCCAGTTCGGTGTGCTGTAGGGCGGTGGTTGTGGCTGTGGCTGTGGCTCTTTGTTCGCCGCCTTTGCCACAGGCCACGATGGACAAGAGGCAGCTGCTACTCCCAAGAGAAAGCAAACAGCGCAAAGACCAAACCATACGACAAATGGAATGTCCATGGCTTGATGGCGCAATGCCACTTGCAAGCGCAGCACTCAGATTAGCCAAAGCAACTGAAGTCGCGGGCACTTTCCGACACGCTCAAAACTGAACCTATTCCAAACTTTCATACTGCGCTTGTCTGCATATAGTTCTACAAAGTGCAGCACACCAACCTTGCTTACTACAAAATCAACAGTAAAATCAACCTACATGCAACCTCATTATATAACTCGCTGTTCTCTGCCCAAACCCGTTTCATTGCTCCACATCTCTCTGGCTGCGCCCCTAAAGCTGTTCTCTGGCCGCTGAATCCCGGACCAGTCGCGTGATTCTTTTGATTGTCTTTATGCTTTGTCTCCTTCAACGCAGTCGCCTCAGATGTGGTTCTTCTACAAATTGCTGCAATCCACAGGTTCTCTACTACAAAATGCTCTCCCACTACCTGA